GTGCTGGCGGAGCCTGCGCAGGGATCCGCGGGCGGGTGGGCTCCGTGTCCCGCGGGAGTGGGCCAGGCAGCCGGTGTGGAGCCCCGAGTGTGTCGCAACCGACGGGAAGCGTCGGCGTTTGGCGGCTGCCGGTGCCTCCCCCGGGGAAAAAAACGGAGCCGAGCAAATGGCCGGGCCCCCCCTGAGGGCCCCGTGTCCCCAGAACCGCGCTCTGCGCTCGCCTCTCCGAGCCGCCCGCCTGCGAAACTTTCAAAAATACTGTCCCGAGGGGGGATTTGAGGGTGCCCGGCGAATGGGCCTGGCTCCGCCGGCCCGGAGGCTGCGGGTGGGTCAGAACTGCCTGGGGGGGGGAGAAGGAGCCAGGGCAGGGCCGGAGGTGCTGGGGGCTCCCCCCACGCCAGACTGACAGGCTTGAGGCACCCCACAAAGCAGCTTTCTGGTGCTGAGCACAGCTCCAGGGAGATGTCAGCATCCCACTGCTTTGCTAAAAGCCTTAGCAGAAAGATAAATGACTGTCAGTTCTCTGCTTGGAAGAGAGGAGGGTCATATTTGTAACAACGGTGAGTGCAGTTGTAAAATCTGGCCATTTGCCATGTCTGCTCCCTAATGAAAATACCTTCCACCACTCTCTTCTGCCCCCGGCAGTTTTTTACAGGTGGGCTATAAGTCAACCCTATTGACAAAAATAGGAGGCTGTTAACAGAAATGCAGAAATTAGAAGATCACCACCAAGAAAGCCTACAACAAAAGCAAAATGTCTGCTCTGTAACTGCATCCAGGCTGGAGGGGTTTGCTTGCAGCAATCAGTACCCTGGGGACCCTCTGGCCCCTGTGCCATGACAGAACCCCTCTTCCATGGGGTTCATCACTGCACTCAGTGTAACCGTGACTGTGAAGGATGGAGAGAGGATGAAAATGTGCTCAGTGGGACCCATCTTAGTTGATGGCCTCCCACAGGTCCTAGGGACTCAGAGAGAAGATGCTCAGCTGGCTGCATGGTGCTCAGGACCAGGCTCTTAAAGATGCACAGGCTGGGCATGACACCTGGCATCCCATTGCTAAGGGACAACCATGTGGCTACATGGCCAGCTCACAAAACCAGTCCTTGGGCCTCCATCTGTGCATTTTTCCAGAGGAGAAAAAGGGGAGACAGCAACTACTCACCCCTTCCTCCTTCTTCTCCCTCAGTCCACACGAACGCTATAGCCCACAGAGCTTTACCCACAAACTGCCAAACATTTGCTGCTGTGTCTAGCGAGTTAACATGAGCCAGGCTTTTACTAAACCACCTGGGTGTCCCTGACTACTCATGTATTTCCAGGGGAAGCATGAAGCAAAAACAGAGTGAGAGAAATGCAGAATACAGGGGGGAGGAGGCTTTTGGAGGTCTCTAGTCTGACCCTCTGCTAAAAGCAAAGCCAGTTTCAAAGCTAAAGCAGGTTGCTTAGCGACTGTCCTGCTGGGTTTTGACTATCTCCAAGAAAGGAGAAGCACATCCTCCCCGAGCAGCCCATGCTAGTGCTGACCACCCTGGACTGAAAAGGTTTGTTCCCAATATCCAAGCAGAAATTCCTCGTTGCAGCTTGCCCCTTGCCCTTTCACTGTGCACATCTGGAAAAGGTCTGGCTCCCTTTTCTCTCTGACCATTCTTCAGGCTGAGCAATCCCAGCTCCCCTGCAGCCGCAAATCCTGCAGCCAGCTCCGGCCAGCAACTGCTGCCCTCTGCGGCTCTCTCCACATTGCGGAGCTCTGTCTCATACATCTCTTAAGTAAAATCTAGGGCATAACACAGTGCAGCAAAGCTTGTAACCCGACAGAAGAGAATAAAAGGTCTGTCCTGCAACCAGCATCCCAGCACCGGGAAGGGTCAGTGGATGGGGTCTGGGCTGCAGGCTGTCCCTGAGGGGGGACGGGAGAGAGGGGAGGGGGAGGCTGGTGTCCATGACTTATAGCAGGAAGAGTTTTCTTTCCTTGTTAATCAACTTGGGTGAAGCTAATTGCTGGTTCCCAATTATTCTCACCCCATCTTCCAGCCTTGGCCACGAGGGATTTACACAATCCCGGCAGTCTGGGCCAGAAAGACCCATTTAGATCATCACATCAGTGTCCCCCTCAGGGTAAACTACAGCCATATTTTGCATTTGTGTTACAGACCAAGTTATGCTCACCCTGCAGAATATTTGCTGAGAAGATTAATTTCTTGGAAACCAGCCAGAAACTAGTGATGCTCATACTAAAGCACATTTCAGGACATTTTAAAAGCACTGCAACATTGGCATGATGATCACGGAGATCATTTGCCAATGGCGAACTCAGCAGCTGAATCCAATCAGTGTTGTGAAATGGTCCTTTCAGCCTCCTCTGACTCATAATAATAATTCGGGGTTAGATTTTGCATTTGGCTGCGACTTTTAATAGAGAGTTGTGGAGAGCTGCACCTGCTGGAGCTCTGTGTCAACCCGGGGAAAGGGGATGGATCAGTCTAAAATGTTTCAAATGTTTGCCATGTGCCTTGCCAGCTCACCAAGTAGTGCTGCACCATGGGGGTGCCTTTTCCTCCCCTATGCTTTCTCACTTGTGTGCATTGTACCCAAGGGAACAGGAGACTCCAACCCTCCCTTGGCATGGTCCACATGCTCCACGCTCGCTTCCTGGGGGCAGAGCTAAGGGTGTCTGACCTCTTCCTGCTCTGCAGAGCTTTTCGTTTGGCTGAATTTAGGACAGTGGCTAAAAGCAAGGTAATCTTAATGCCTGTGCCTGTGAAATTGTTTGATTTTTTTTTTTTTTTTTGCCAGTGAATCATTATTAAATCAGCTTGAGTTAGTTAACGGCTTGTGGGAGCCATGGCAATCAAGTACAGGGAGGAAAGAAAATACATCTACCATGTGGGAGTGTGTCTTGGGGAGTGTACACAGCATGAAATAACCAGGCTGCTCACAGACCCCAGCATACCAGGGGAAGGACAGGGCAGGGGAAAGCTCAGCATCTCCATCAAACTTACCTCATTAATTCCTCTGTGTCTGGAGATGCCACCCTGCCTGTCCACAGCCAGTCCAAAGGGAGCAGCTACAGTGTGAGAGCAGATTTGTCCTGTCTTCTCTAGCTACCCTACAACACCAGAGTGAGGGGGGAGCAAACCGGGAGGATAGAATTTGATTAACTTTTTCTACTTTGGTTCCAGCTCAGAGTAGAAATAACAAGCACCACTGCAGACAGACTAGCAATGTGATATTGATGTCTCTCTGTAATTTAAAATTAAATAAATTAAGCCACCATTGAAAACACTTTGCTGTGTTGTTTGGTGACCAAAATCTGTCCCCATTCTGTCTTCCTGATCAAGAACTTGATTTAATAAAGGTTAAAAAAAAAAAAAAAAAAAAAAAAGTCTGCATTCCCATCTTCTAAAAATGTGCTAAAGGAAGCAGAAAATAGAAGGGAAAATATTGATGTCTGCAAGTTGCTATTGAGTGGCTGGTATTGCACAGCCATGTTGTGAAGCTTCTGTACCCAGAGGTGACTTCTAACTGTTTCTGACTCACTGAGCACTAAAATTTAGAATAATTTCCTTCCCTTTCTTGTAGAATTAATAATGACAGACTGATGGGTTTTCTGCATAGGAACCTCATTCCAGAAGCAGAATGGTCTTGTAAGAAAAGGTGTATTCAGACCAGAAAGCATTTTGCAGACATCTTCTGATTATGCTTGTGACTAGTCCTCTGCAGTAAACAGCCATTTCACAGGTAGAGGCATGACTGTCCCACATGGGCTGGTGTCCTGCCTGTCTGCAGAGACCTAGGTCTAAACACTGCGAGCATCCCAGTACCACCAGTGGCCTGACCCAACAGGACCAGTGTTAAGCCCCTGGATAAATACGGGGCAGGCCTGGGGTGCACGGGGGA